AAAAAAAAGCAAAAGAACTTTTATCTGCGACGAAGTCACGTCTAGGTTTCCAAAGATTGTATGTATCTATGTTTTAGAGTGTATAAAGGAAAAAATATTCCCCCTCATCACGAATCAATTTTTCATCTCCTGACCTTACTTTTCTTTTTTGTTTGTCTCGAATAACAGGACTTGGAGAAGCCTGGGGCCACTCCAGCCGAACCAGCCCACTAGATAATGTCGGACGGGAACTGGGATCCCATCTTTTGCAGGTACTGGTCTGGAAACGACAGGCATAGGGTATTAATGATTAAAGAAATAATTCCCTCTTCTGAGCTTTCAATTGCCACCTTGACTAATTTTTAACTGTTCAAGTGTTTAATAGAAAGGTAGGCAGGAGTGGAACCACTTCAGAAATGCGGACAACTGTGATTCAATGTCGTGTGTTTTACTGGGACTGTGGCTTGGTCCCTTTGCCTCAGAATCATCTAACACTGCGTTCACAGCGAGGGATTCACAGTGTGTCCCAGGGTGCCAGAGATACAGGAGCACGACTTTCCCCCAATTTATCAGCAAGGTGACACGTATCATTGATGTTCTGAAGCTCAGAGTGGTATGGCAGGGAGAGGCTCTAGCGACAGGTTAGGGAAGGCTGTCCGGGACAGAAGGACTCAGAGGGCACCGACGTTAGCAGAGATACAAATCGGGGAGGACAGGTCTGAAAACTCACAGCGCTCTGAAATACTAAAGAATATTAGCGATGACCATCACCACGTGTTTCTGACGGAATCGCGTGGCCTTTGGAGGGTCTATTCTGCTCTTGGTACACCTAGAAGTCCCATCTGTGTCTGCTGAAATGTACCTGACAACTTGTCTTATTTAAACTGTGGAGTGTTTTAGATTCTCTTTGATCGCTTAAATTCTCCTTATAAAATACACAAGCACTAAACTCCCTCTGACATTTGAAATAGGGTAGAAGTATTTGGGATTTCTGGGACCCACATATTAATCATCAGGTAGTTAGGACCTCTTCTTAGATACTTCCAAGGCACTTTGAGTTACTTTTGAGCTCGGCCCCTCTGAGAAGTGTGTTGTATCTCAGGGGTCCAGGATCTTTAGAGGGATTCTTGTCCAAGATTTGTTAATTTCCTTCCAACTTTTTGAAACAGAGCCTGAGCATCGACGCTTGTTTGTTAAAATAAATCGGAGGAACGGGTATTTAATGGATCTATCTGCCTATTGATTTATTTATATTCCCAACCCTTTTCTGCAGACGTTGGACGGTTTCATATTTGTTGTGGCTCCGGATGGCAAGATCATGTACATCTCAGAGACTGCCTCGGTGCACCTAGGCTTGTCGCAGGTACGCTGGGGGGTCTGCTAGCCCTGGTGCTTGCCTGACAGGAGAGGGTGCCCGGTGCCGGCGATGAGCCCCATCCTCTCCTCCTCCTTCTCCTCCTCTTTCACAGGTAGAGCTGACCGGCAACAGCATTTACGAGTACATCCACCCCGCCGACCATGACGAGATGACGGCGGTGCTGACGGCGCACCAGCCTTACCACTCTCACTTCGTGCAGGGTAAAGCACACAGCCCCCACCCCTGCCTGGCCGCCGCGGTCGCGTAGGGGACCGCTCAGAGCCAGAGGAGCCTCAGGCTCATCCCTTCTCTCCCTTTCCCCCTTCCCAGAGTACGAGATCGAGAGATCCTTTTTCCTGAGGATGAAGTGCGTCCTGGCCAAGAGGAACGCGGGCCTCACCTGCGGGGGCTACAAGGTGCGTGCCCGCGGTCAGATTCCCCGTTCCCCCCCGCACCAGCTTTCCCGTGTTCCTGCGCCTGGAAGGCTGTGAAAATGGTGAGAGAAGAGAGGGCGAGACCTCTCTCTTCTCGCGGGGGTTTTCCAGCCCAGGACTCTTTCATGTGGTTCATTTCTCTCAGAGTTTCAGGTTGAAGAGCTCAAACCACAATACCAAAACCAAGCAATTGAGCTCCTCTTGATGCTTGTTTGTCGGCGATTTTTAATTTTTTTTTTTTTTTTTTACTCTTTGAACTGAACCTCGCACAACCACTGAGGTTCCCTGTGACAGCTTTCAGGTGATACAACGGGAGCCCTGGGTTAATTAATTTCTTTATTAGGCAATTCGTCAGCTGCAGAGGTAGCTCTCCCAGTCAAGGGTTTTGACCAGGTGCTTCATGGCTCTGCCCGGGGCTCCTCGGTGAGGAAAGCCCTGCGCTCTCTCCTACCTCCTCGCTGCTTTGTGTCAGCAGCACAGCGACTAGGAACGGGTTGTACCCATAACCCAGGGAGATGTTGTGTCACTGCGTACCGTAGACCAAGAACACCTGCTAAACTCCAAGAAGAAACATCTTAATAATAGATAAGTAAGAGTGGAAGTAGACAGCATTCGTCTGCAAGGATATGTTTAGGAGATATGCTTATATCAAAGGTACTTTTTTGGCGATGCATTGCGCCTGCTCCATCTAGATAACAGACGTATCTCACACATGTGACATATGCTCACATGTAAACCCTTTCTCACGCGCATACACTCTTCATTACAAACTGGATTGGCAGTTCTGCGTCTTTCCTTTTCAGAAGAATAATAAAAGCGCAGTTAGGAGGTGGGCCAAAAACCTCTAAAGCCAGTGGAAAAAAAAAAATCTTGTTGACTCTAATGGGTCTTAGATCGATGCTGAACTCTAGTATGGGAAAAAACCTCAACCCCGACAGAACCGCAGAAAACTCACAGACGGTGCCAGGGTGGAGACGCAGGTCAGCGGCTCCCGAGAGCCCGGCAGCCGCGCCGACACGGCGATGGGGGGATATTGTTCCGGCCCCCTTAGTGGGGAGGGACGCCTGTATCAGCACACCCCTGGCCCCTGCTTGGGTAGCCGCCAAACTTTCCTGTGTCTCCGGCAGGTCATTCACTGCAGCGGGTACCTGAAGATCCGCCAGTACAGCCTGGACATGTCTCCCTTCGACGGCTGCTATCAAAATGTTGGCTTGGTCGCCGTGGGCCACTCGCTACCGCCCAGCGCCGTGACTGAGATCAAGCTCCACAGCAATATGTTCATGTTTCGGGCCAGCCTAGACATGAAGCTCATATTCTTAGATTCCAGGTAGAGCTGGGATTATTTCCAAATCTATTGTCCTGGCCCGTCCTTTCTTCCCCAGGCCTCCTCTCCTGTCCTCACCCATTTATATTTGCTGCTTATGTCTCTTACAGGGTAGCTGAGCTAACAGGTTACGAGCCCCAGGACTTGATAGAGAAGACCCTTTATCACCACGTCCATGGCTGTGATACCTTTCACCTGCGTTGCGCACATCACTTGTGTAAGGAGATGTTCTTCTTGTTTAAAACCCCGCCCCCCCTCTTCTCCCTTTGCAGAAGGACTCTGAGATTGCTAGGATTTACCTCTAGGTCGGAACGTGAAAAGCCAGTTCTCTGGAGGGCAGAATAAGCAAAATCTTCTTCAGGTTTTAGTGAAACAAGGTTAGCTAGAGACTGAACTTTGAGCTGGACAGAGGCGGCAAATGGAGGGGATGGACAATGAAAGGCTATTTTTTACATCCTCTTCTTTCGGTTGTAGGACAAGACCTGCCCTGCACAAATCCCAGGCTCTCTTGTCTCTTCAAATTCTGGTTAGGAAAACCCTTTTTTCCCGCTCCAAAAAGCCATGTCAGTAAAATTCAAATACTTTTGTTTCACTTCCACCAAGTGTCACAAATCTTATCTGTGTATCTAAATTTGACTGCAGTAGTGACCCTGATTCGGCGAGACGTGCTTTATTCTATTTTGATATCATGATGACATTAATACACGGATAGATGAATAAAAAGGATATTAATTTCCGGTAAGTTTCCTTACACAGAATGTAACGTGAAGAGATATAACCTAAAGACAGATTTATTGAACAAAATCACCATGATGATACTTCAGGATGGGGGTGTGTGAGGTGAGGTTGCGGTAGCCGACCACACACATATACACACTCACACACCACTCTCCCCTATTAGCTTTTGATAACGATCTCAGGTACTGAGATGAGATGAGATCTGCCTGAGGGCTCCACCACCGTTGTCCCCATGTGCCACTAAGAGGTTCCTAACCCCTCTGGTCTCCCACAGGGCTCTGGGGGTAGTGTGCGCCCCTTCCCGGGGCTGATCAAACCAGAGGCGGGAGCCACGCTGAGCCTTTCCCCGCTTTGTCCCCGCAGTGCTGGTGAAAGGACAAGTGACCACCAAGTACTACCGCTTCTTGGCCAAGCACGGCGGCTGGGTGTGGGTGCAGAGCTACGCCACCATCGTGCACAACAGCCGCTCCTCCCGCCCGCACTGCATCGTCAGCGTCAACTACGTGCTCACGTGAGTCAGCCTGGTGCCGCTCCGAGCTGCGGGACCGGGCGGGACCGGGCGGCACCGAGCGGGACCGAGCGCCGCCAGGGCACCTGCGGCTGCGCCCCGCTCTGCCCCGGTTCCGGGGCCGCTCCTGCTTCCCTCCTTCCCTCCCGCCTCCTCCTCCTCTCCCCGCTTCCCTCGCCGCCGCACTGACCAGGGCAGGCTCGCCAGGTCTGCTAGGAAACACATTTTCATCCTTTCATCCAGATGACGGGTTTCCCGTCTGCCTGTTTCTTTCTCTTTCGAGAAAGGAAAAGATTTAGAGGTTTGTCACCCACATATTTTGCTACCCCCCTCTTTCTATTTTTTTTTTTTTTTTTTTTTTTTACTTTAAATGCACCCAGCATTAAATAAAATTTAATGCGGCGTAAAAGAAAAGGCTTCTACGTACGGAGTTATTTATACTCAACAAACAGGACATCTGTTTTTCTTTTCAAAAATCTGGGGTTTGAAGTTCTTAATTTCATCCAGAGTCCCTATCAAAGCTCGGAGATTTCTTTTTTGTTCTTGGAGAGCGATCCTTACAGTGAACCACAAAGAAAGTTGGTGACCAGAAGGGTCAGTTGAACTTAAAAAAAAAAAAAATTAAAATTAAATCGGAAAAAAAGAAAATCAGAGTAAGTGCTGAGATACCATATATCTCAATACATACCCTAGCATTTTGGAATGGCTGAGTTGTGCGCTAGCTATGCTGCTTGTACTGAGACGCAGAGGGCCCAGTGAGGGAAGGAAAGCTCGGCTGGACTATTTTTAAGTGTTTTCGTAGTAGTTATTAGTATCCCCTCTGGACACAGCAGCAGCTATTGCTGGCAGCACTGATGCTTCGTTGGGCTGGTAGGACCAGTCAGGCCAGCAGTCCTTCGTT